AAACACCCATGTTCTTTGTTCTATCCACATCATTAGAATAGTATTGCTTTGCTCTAGTTTTTCCAACAACAACAGGGTCCACAGCTTCTAAGTGGCTGGGATTTGCAACCAATGATAGATGAATTCTCTTACCACCTCTAGTAGGTCGATCATACGAGGTTCCCAAATGATACTTGACATCACCAGTTCCCACATAACCAGCTCCGTCCGCAGGTTTTGTACCACCGCTAAACTCACTGAAAATTTGCCTTAGTGGCTTTCGAACAACATTACCTAAAACATTTAATCTACCTCTATGCGGCATCCCAATTACTATGCTCTCAACTCCCAGATCTGCCGATCTATCAAACATCTCCTTCATGCCAGGAATCAAGGTCTCACAACCTTCAAGCCCAAATCTCTTGGCTGCCATCCACTTGGTCGCCAAGAAGTTTTCGAACTGAGTACTCCACATCAACCGGTCAAGAATAACTTCACGTCGTTCGCGGTTGTATTCCCTTGGTGTAGGAGTCTCAATACGTTCTCTCAACCAATTACATTTATCACGATCAGGAATGTGCATGTACTCGAAACCAATGCTGCCACAATAAGCCTGCTCAAGCCTTGTCAATATCGCCCTCAAGGTCTGCACAGGGCGATTCTCAGACAAGAAACCAGACATCCTCCAAACACCAAGGAAGAACTCTCGGTCCAGATCAGCTTCAGTGAACCCATATGATACTGGATCCAGAACATCTGGAATTTCCCTCTCCTCCAAAGCCAACGGGTCCAATTTGGCTTTCATATGACCATTAACCTGATAAGCTCTGACAAGCAATAGAAGATTCATACTTTCCTGAATCGTCTGGCCAGAAATCCCAGGCGATGTGGCAGCTAAGCCAACAAAATTCCTGAAAAAGTTGTCCCACGATTCATCCACACTATTTGGATCTTGTTCCCAAGTCCGCTGAAGCTCCTCAAGGTAGACACTGCTGGTACCATCTAAGAAGCTATCAGTCAACTTTGAAAGTGGTACAGGCCTCGGGACAGGTGCAGATTGCGCCTTTGGCCTGATAACTGTGGTATGAAAATATCTACTTTGTGATGGAAGAAGGCGACTTCTTGGCACGTAAGAACCACCCTGAGACACAGCTCTTCTAATGGCAAGCTTTGCCACACTAGATCCAGCTCTAAACCATGCCATTGTTGTAAATCAAGCCCTCAAATTGAATTTAAAAGTACTTCACAAGTTTCAATAAACCCTCAACCAACTAAACTTCAACACACAATCATTATACCTTGAGAAATAACCTAGTAAGAACAACAGGAAAAATACAACAATCAATAATTTGAACGGAACAGCAAACAGACAGAAATCAGTCAACACTCATAATCAATATCTAGAATTCAAGTAATCTCAACAGTCTAGTTTTTGGTATTAGAATGAAATGGCTCTGCATCGATCAATATGGTTACTGATGATTCATACAGTCAACATCAACTAGGTTGGAATTAAGGTGCAGTGGATTAATAAAATAGTTTAGCTTCCTCTTTTTATAAAGGTGGTGTCCAGACCAGCTTGCGCACATCTTGACTATTCCACTGAATACCTACTACCTTCCACCAGCACAGGAACCATATAACTTTGCCTCAACAGTTTAGGCAGATGGAAGAATCACCTAGTGTTTATTGCTCAACTGGAATTTGAACTTGAGATCTCATAGTTCTCCTCCCACTTCATCGACCACTATGACCACTAGGCCACACCCTAGGGTATTAAATAGTTTTTGAGCATAGCAAAATGGTTACAGATGATTCATATAGACGGTCCAACTAGTTTGGGATCAAGGTATAAGTTGGTCGATTGAATACTTTAGTTTTAAGTATCAGAATGAAATGGACCTAAATGAAGCACAATGATTACAGAGGATTCACACAGTTGACTCCAACTAATCCGTGCGTAACACGTAATCAACTGATCTAATAATTTACTTTCGTAAAAAAAAAAAAAAATCCTTCACCAATTTTTAAATTTTTAGGCACCACAGTACATAGCTATAAAAGCAAAATTTTACGATCCAGCAATCTCGCCTACAACAGCAATTCAAAACGCTACAGGATCTAAAATTTTAATCTCGAAAAAACACCAAATCTAACGGAGAAAAGCAGATTTAAATTCGAACAGGATACAGATTACGCTGAATTATATGAAATTACGAGCTAGCATTGAAAATAATCAATGGAAAAAGATAAATACATGAGGATTCGATGGAGTATAATATTACCTTTGAATAGTGAGAGATTGAAAATGAATGAGGGGCAGGGGTTTGTGGGTTGAGGGAAATGACTTTTTTTAAAAGAGAGTGGAAAATCAAGGCCACGTTCAAAGTTGAGGAATCAGCGCCTATATTTTAAGCTACTTTTCTTCCCATGTTCTCGAACCTCACCATTATTCCCCTCCCAACAAAAAGGGCAAAAGTTACATTTATTTACATCAAAAAAAAAACTAATTAATGCAATATAGTATTATATATTTTTCCTGCATACATTTATGGTAAAAGTTGTTTACATTGTATTTATATCAAATAATATTAATTTACCATATTAAGTAATTTAATAAGATGATAATATATACACCTTCCGGTATAATTAACTTTTTTTCCATCTTGCCAGAAATGCTGATTACTACATAACAATAAAAACCTTAATGTAAAAAGTATATTAGTCAAAGGCTCTTATTATAGGGCACTAGTTTATTAAATGACGTGTAAAAGAGAAATATTATAATTAAAATGGACCAGTAACTTCAGTGGCGGATGTAGAGTGACAAACTTCAACTGAACCTAGTACTTTCGGGACAAATCATAAATTTATATATAAAAATTTACTAAAATTATACTAAATAGTAGGTTTGAACCCATAATTTAAAAATATAATATATTCATAGCAAAAAACTTTCAGGGTTGAACCCATTGAACTTAAATTTTGCATCCGCCTCTGAGTAACCATGACTACGTGAGAGAATTATATTTGCAAACAAAAAGCATGCATTTAATAAATTATGTGGTGTAGACGTCGAGAAAAAGTAAGTTTTTATCAATATTGTTAAGTGATATGTATTTTTTTTTCTTTAATTTTTAAGCGGTTAAATGTGATGTAAATATTTGATGCAAGTAACATTTACCGAACAAAATGAGTATTAGTAGTAAGTTAATACTAACTTTTTGTTCTTTATTAGGCTCTCTATCATATGTTTGAAAGATAAATAAATCGTGAGTTTTTTTCTTTAAAAAATTAATAAACAGTTACAATTAATTACCATATCACATGTAATCTAGGAATTCCTTTTTATTATTATTCAATTCAATCAAGTATTAAGAAGTTATTTTCCTCTTCTTAGTTCTTTCTCTTTTCATATAGTGAAAAGTTTAGTTTTATATATGCAAAGGCATGATTCTTAGAATTTAATATATATATATATATNCTTCGTCATGATTGGTGACGGATTCAGTTCTTTCTTCACTTTCAATAATACATTTTAAACTATAAAACAAATTATGTCCTTATCACTCTTATTGCTATTTGTATTTAAAAAAATCATAAAAATAGATTACATTGACATTTAGATGGAGCAGAGATTAGATCTTTAGAAATCGAGAAGGGTGCGAGGAACAAAAGTGTGCCCCTTTGTGTTTAAAAATCACTAAATAAATATTTGAAACAAATTGTAATTTTATAATTTCCAAATATCAAAATAAATTGGAACTGATGAAACAGTTTTTCTTAATTTCTAAATTAGAATTTTATTCTTATATTATTTTGAAACATTGACCAAGTGTTAAACTAAGACTAGTAGATTGTCGGAATCTTATAAGACTAGTAGTCGGTAGACTATCATATATATAAAACAACAACGGTTGTAGTGGAGTAGAATCTTATAAGACTAGTAGTCGGTAGACTATCATATATATAAACCAACAACGGTTGTAGTGGAGTAGTAAGTACTCTTTCATCCTTAATCAGAGGTCTCGGGTTCGAGTCCCTAGGTATGGAGTCGTCTTTGTTAGGGGGGCGCTTTACCTCCCATTGTGGGACTTCCCGGCGCAAATTCGGATTTAGTCGAGCCCCAATGTATATACTAAACAACGAATGGGAAACCAAAAAAAGACTATCATATAAGTATTATACATTTGATGTTTCTTTAAAAAAAAATTAGATTTGACTTGTTATAGTTAATTCAAATTCATAAAACGTACTACCAAAATATATATATATAAGATCGTTTCTCTTGATAAAACAGAAAATCCATATCATGTGAAATGTAAGATTTAACCTTTTATCAAGCAATTTTTTTATTTATGATGTTCTTATTCTAAAATCTAAATTTCCTTTGCTTAGTCAAAATTATTTTCTTTTCTTTATACATTATCCATCTTTTCCAAAATGAACTGCCCCATGTAATGGTCTTTTCTTGTGCGTGTTTGGCCACATTGTGATATGGGAACCCATACTTCTCGAATGCAAAAGAAACTTTATTTCCTTCTTGTTTTTAAATTAAAATTCTTTCAAATTGTTTCTTTCTCTATTTTATTCGTCGAGTATAGGATATTGCTGTCCCTACGGGGACATCCGATAAAAAAGTAAAGAGTTATTGAATAAATCTTAATAATTGAATAAAAAGTATAGGGTTATAGGGAACGAGCAGGATTATGAATCCAAGTGGAAGGTAAAAGCATGGACTTTTTTCACTTTTAGTCCGTATCAAAAATTATTTACAAATGATAGCCGAAAAATATATAAATTTGTATAATTTTTAAATATAACATACATAATGTATATATATATATATATATATATACCAAAAAATATACATTTTTTCGGCTATTATTTTGAGAGCGGCTATACAATGTCATTTTCTCGCATGTTAAAACTCCTGCATTACGTTTCTACTTTTTTAACATTCTACTCGGAGCAAAAACTAACAGCTCCAATAATTAAAAGAAAAATAAATGAAACTGTTGGAAGATATCAAAACGCAGGCTAGTTAACTGCATGACAATAGATTCACAACGACAGTAGAAAAGCCTTTGACACATCAAGCTTGCCATCAGATGGCGAAGAAATATTTGGTAATGAAGTTAACAGGAATCAGTTTTTCATCCCAATCAATTTTTACATCCAAATGCAACTAACGAACGTTCTTCCCACACGATTGTCTCCATTCACGAACCACAGCAAGATGACTTCTGTGCAGCTTGACCAGAAGTTCCGGCCTGATCCGATTGGTTGATCCTGATTGCCTGAGGCTGCATGAACCGAGAGAACATATTCATCACGAGATGAAGTAATAATAAGGACGCATTCTAGATGTGTGTAGAAGTTGAATCAACTCTAGTCCATTGAAACAAAAGAATAAAGAACGAAATATCAAATATCTGCGTACCTCAGTCTTGGAATCAGATTCCGAAAGCCTTTGTTTGATATCCCTAGCAATTGAAAAGAAAACTTCTTCCACATTCATGTTTGTCTTTGCACTCTGCAGCAGATTTCATCATTTATAAGTACCCGAACTTACTCCATCCGGCAGAAAATTTCAATTTCGACATTAGAAAGACATGGACTTACTGTTTCAAAAAACTTAATGCCATATTCATCAGCAAGAGCTTGACCCTTGGAAGTTGGCACAGCCTAGATAGGAAAAAAGGAATAATATCAACAGCATCTAATGGAAACTGTGTGCATCAGAAAATAAGTACCTGATCAAAGGAGTGAGAAAAACCAAGCAAATTAGTTATACAAACAGACTACAAGTAATATTTCCATAGGTTGGATGGATGCCCAAGGTTCCTGAGGTGAATGCCCATTATATAACTAGCCAGATTCAGGAAGATGAGAAACTCCCACAGTGACAATTTCATAATCACAATAACCTACCCTTTTGCTTTCGTCCATATCAGCCTTGTTCCCAACCAAAATCTTATTGACATTGTCAGAAGCATGCTGCTCTATGTTGCGAATCCAGTTCCTGATGTCTGAATGGTTCAGTTAAACATTAAATAATAAGTTAAATCTGCTCATCAATGCTAGATTTGGGCATGAAGCTGCAAATCAGACCATAAAACCAGCTAAAGCTTGAAATTTGGAAACAACATTATCACATCTCTGCTGCAAAAGAAAACCTAAATAGTGCTGAAGGATAGAACATTTGACATAAGCAGGACGCTAAAGCAAGATAGTGAGAGAATTTACTATTGAAAGATGACTCGTCCGTGACATCGTACACCAGCAGAATACCCATGGCTCCTCGATAATACGCTGTGAACAACAAAATTCAAACATGATTGAGAGGCACATTGAAAATAAAAATGAATTTCACATTTGAACAGACCTTCTAATTCAATTCAATCTCCTAGCAATTTTAGTCCAAGAAGTTTGTACAGGGGCGGACTTACGTAGCCGAAGGGGTCAACTGAGTCCCCGTCATCAAAAAGTTTCTGTGTTATATGGTATAGTACATTTTGAAAAATAGAAGTACGTGTATATACATGTTATTAAATCCCCTTGATACAAGGATTCTCTCCACAACAATGTTCAAGGAGATTCAAGATCTGTATGAGATCTTGTATTCCAATCCCATAACCACCATTTCCCTGCCTGGCTTTTCTTGGACCCCTTAATGAAAATCCTAGGTCTGCTCCCAGCTTGCACCATAACTAAGTACTCTCTCTATTCCAATTTATGTGGCACTTTCCACTTCTCGATCCAAACTATGTGAACTTTAACAAGTATTTTAAAATATAATTTTTCATCATACTGACATGAGAAGATTTGCAACTTACAGTAATTTTCATATTGTTTTTGAATGTCTAAATTTTAATTTTGAAATATCGAGTTGATCTAATCCAATTTAGCTTCAGATACATACATACATACAACCACCCAGTAAACAATTTAGCTTCAAAGAATAGCCAAATTGACCCTCAAGAAACGAAGGGTGCCATATAAATTGGGTCAGAGGGAGTACCACTTAAATGTCATGACTTTCACTATTAGCCACCTACAAGCTTCAAATAAATACAGCCAGTACATGTGATCGCTCAAAACTCTAGTTTTCAAGACAAAAGTTACAAAAAAAGAAGCCCTTGTTTCCTTTCACCAGAAGCTTGCACTCTAGGATATCTGAAGATCCAAAAAAACTTATCTTGTTTCTTTTCATCCTTACAAAAAGTTAGGAACCTAGGACATTTGCCGAATACACACTAGATTTAGATATACCTGTCGTGATAGTGCGGAAACGCTCCTGACCAGCTGTATCCCAAATTTGTAACTTAATCCGCTTGCCATCAAGTTCAATTGTTCTTATCTTAAAGTCAATTCTGTAAAAGCAGAGCAATCCTGTAAATTTGGAGGAGGAGAAGAGAAAAATGCAAGGCCGAGAAAAGGTTGAGGGAAAGCAGTAAATAGTGCATAAGGTATACAATTTATTAGTTTTTTTCAAAAATGATGATTCCCAAACTAGACAGTTCATCTAGCATCCTGCATAAGAGAGCATAATTTTCTACTTTTTTGGCCAAACATGATTTTTCCTGCTACCAATCAAGATTGATGTGTAACTTTTTCATCAGTTTCTTAATATTCTGCCCTTTATTCGACTAAAAAGAGAGCCTTGTCGACATAAAAAAACTAACTGCTGACATAATACTGTGGTAATCCCAAAAGATGCATTTTTTGTGTTTGAAACACAATCTAATTAGTACTTCCAGAGGAGGGAGGGATGGTCGAGGATACAAACCCAATAGTGGTGATGAAACTTGTTGTGAAGGAACCATCTGAGAACCTCAGAAGCAAACAACTCTTTCCCACACCTACAAATAAAACCATCATAAAGAGCAAGGAACTGATAAAAGATGTTATACATAGAAAATATTTCCTTTGTGGCAAATGTCGTCTTTGAAAATCAATAACTAACCTACTCAATCATGAAATGAAATGAAACTGTTACATTTTCCTTCCAATTCAACCGTGAGCCTCATGTACTTAGAATGAGAGTTTGACCATATTTATCCCCAATTTCCCTCTATACATCTGGACAAAATGACCATCCTCACTCCTCTCGTTAATATATTTCACATTTTTAACTGTAATACTACTAAAATAAGTATTAAAAAAGGTCGTGGTCTTAACTTTCATATTCAATTTTTTCCCCTTAGGCTTAAATTAGTTACAAATATATTAACTACAAATACTTTCTAGAAGCCCTCTCATGGAAATTTTTATCCTATGAAAAGTTTTTCCCTAAAAAACCTGCAGTACCTGAAGTTCAACCTGTAAATAATAGTACTCCTAGTTACTTTCTGAATATAACAACTTACTAGAATTGTGTTTTCAACTAATTCCACAATTATCATAAGAGGGAACTTTTAAGTTTCAGCTACTTTCTAAAATTCAAGATTTAATTCGTAATTGAAGATACCATTACAGAAGAGGCATGAAGGGGGTGTGGTTGTGGTACAGGGTTCGGTGTTGGTTATAGTGGAAAAAAGGAGAAAATGAAAAGAAAACGAGAAAGGGGTATTGTGGGTGGGGGGGCATACATGAGAGCCGTAGTGAATATTAAAGGGAGTTTTATGAATGTAACGTCGAATATCTTGCAATGCCTTACAAAATCATTTAACAAATCAAGCATTTTGGTAGAAGCTAGTCAAGCTTATGAATAGCACCAAATATGGATGTTTGACATCCATTCATCAAGATCTAAGTGATCCACGAAGTATAGTGAAAGTATTAACGTCCATAGATACTGCAGTGGGCAGTATACCAGTTTTCTTAACTGACTTTGACAGAACGCTATCCCAATCCATATTTCAATGTTTTAAGAGATTGTAACAATATTTTATCTAAGATGCCATCAAAACTAACCTTTCAACCATTACTTAAATACATTTCTTCCACCTTCTTCATTAAAAAATTATATAAATCAAATTAACATATTCATTCATAGCGATATGACAAGTAACATCTTAAACTTCGTGTCCAATCATATAAAATGTGAAGCACAGAGTAATAGAAAAAGGGAAAAGAAACTGCTTGTACTAATGTAGAATACATAGATAAACTAATTCAGAATTTTCAGACAAACAATTTTTACGTGCGCTGTTAAGCTCATTCTAACATCTTAACTAAATATCTCCAATTTCAAGTAAAGATCCAATTTCTCCCCATCCCTAAGCGGCACGTTTTGTTTCTGTTAATCTCATTTGCCTGAAAATGGGTACATAAATTTAAAAAATAGAAAACAAAACGAGTAAAAAAAGAAAAAGTAAAACTAACCGCTATCGCCAATGAGGAGGAGCTTGATAAGATAATCATAATCTGCTCGAGCCCTAGCTGGTGGAGCTGCCATCGTCTTCTCCAATAAATATCTGAATCACCAAATGCAAAACCCTAAAAATCAGAAAATTGATTATATCATAAATCAATTTGCATTTTTTGCTTTTGTATAGAAAAGGAATTAAAGTTGTAAATTAAATAAAGTTAAATATACGTACCAAGAGATTGGGACCAGAAATGTGAGAGAAACACAGAGGTTTTTGACAAGGTCAGAAAGTCGTCGGCAACATTGGGCTGAAAGGGGGAAAAAATGGTCAGAACAAGAATATACGAAGCCCAGGTGGGGTTAAGTAGAGTTTCTTGTCTATATTCAAGACTAGTGGTTATTGGTATTTGTAATCTTTGGAAATTGGACCATTTCTTCCTCCACTCCTTTTAAAAAAAAAAAAAACAAATGAGATTCTTTTTTATTTTATTTTCTATTGGGTGTCTAGTCTCTCTACCCGACGGGATAAGTGTAAGGTCTACATACACACTAACTTTCTCAGACCTCACTTGTGAGATTATATTGGATTGTTGTTTTTATTATTGTTGTTGTTATTCGGTGTTTGGTACTCGCTTGGAATAGGGGTATTTGTCGGTCGGTATGGTACGGTATTTAGATATTTCGATTCAGCTTTTTCGATATTCGATTTCTTAAAGTATTATATCAATACCATACCTAATTAAATTCGGTATGGTTCGTCTTTTCTCCTTTCGATTTCTATTTATTGGGTTTGGTAACTTCGATTTGTTCGGCTCGAATATTAACTAGTGTATAAAGCCATAGATTGTAATATTCTTAAGTGAGGTATTCTCAAATATAAAAAATAAAAATACTACAATATAGTGAAAAAATAGGGAAACCGAAAATGATAAATCCAGATAGGAGAAAGGTTTAAACGTAAGTAGACAACCAAAGAAAAGGGAGAAAGACAAGTATAGTAGTAAAAAGATGGTAAAGGTTAAAGAAAACTATAAAAATAGCAGATCATAAACTTTAGAACTTCAATAACTATAAAATAACATAAAGTAAAATTTAGAACTTTTATATTTATATTATAATCAATCATATGTGTATTGTGTAACTTAATATATATTTTGGTACGATATTGGTATTTCGGTATTTTATTTTTAAATACGATTACCATACCTAATGCCAATTTTTTTTAAAAACTTAAACCAAATAGCATACTAAATACCAAAATATCGAATACCAAATATCAAAATCGTTTGTTTTGATACGATAATTTGTTATTTATCAAATTATACACAACCCTAGCTTGGGTCCTACTAATTCAGATTTGCATTGAAAAGTACTCACGTTAGTTACGTCGATAGTATTGGCTTTAGTTATGCGAAAAATAAATTTGGAGCCAAATATAAAGGACCGGTTATGTGTTTGGCCTTAGTCATTTAACAGTAACTAAATGAAGGATAAAAAAAAATTCACTTTTAGAAATATCAAGGATGCATTTGCTCACATGAATATTCTAAGGATGTACTTTAGCTTATGGCGTACTTTAGAAATGTTTTTTGCCACAGTTTTCTTATAACCAAATGAGTATTTTACAACTATAAAGTTACCAAGAAGTAACTACTCGATAAAATAATATGTGTATGACATCCATTTTTTTGTTATGAAGGAAACTACAATGCATAATTGTTAAAATAATACCTCCTACTAACATAATAATTTTTCCAAAAAAAAAAAAGTGTTTCTCAAAAATCGAAAAGTCCTTGTATTATTGGAAGTGTAAATTTACGGCCAAAAATTTCCCCGTAATAAGAATAGAACAGTCAATCAATCAACATCAACCGCGAGGGTAGAAGAATTTAAACTCATATATTACAATTTTTATTATGATTGTTTTCAATTATAATCGTAAAGTCTCCTTTTAGATAGTGATAAAAGAAAATAATGAAATGGGATGTCATTTTAAAGTTCATTCAAGCGCATCACGTCACCGGACAAATCGTAAGAACTAGCACCATTTTTGCAAAACTCTTGGAGTAAAAACACATAGGGCCCCTTTGGACATAAAAAAGTTTTTTTTTTTAAATTTTATTTCACCTTTTTTCAGAATCAGTGTTTGACAAAAAAAAAACACTTTAAATTGAATTTCAGAATTTTTTGAAATTTGAAAAACTTCAAAAGTTATTTTTCAAAATTCTCACTTCAAAGCACTCACAAATATTCAAAAATAACTCTAAATTGTATTTATATCCAAAAAAACACAACTCTAATTTTCAAATATCCTTTTCAACTTGAAAAAATACTTTACTTATTTTCGAAATTTTACAATTCTAATGTCCAAATGCCCACTTAGAGCCCCGTCGGTCAATAGTTCTTAATCTTCAAGCCACGATATAAAATATTTTAAATGTAAATAACAAACGTAGCTTCATTTTGTTTTATGTTAGTAGCAGGGGTGTTTGACGGTCGGTATGGTATGGTATTTAGACATTTCGGTTAGGTATTCGGTTACGTAAAATGTTATACCAATACCGTATCTAATTACATTCGGTATGGTTCGATTTTTCTCCTTTCGGTTCGGTAATTTCGGTTTATTCGATTTGAATACTAACTAGTGCATAGAGTAGTAGACGGTAATATTCTTAATTAAAGTACTTAAAAGTACAAAACTAAAAAGGTTTGTTGATAAAAGTTTTGTCCAAAACCAACATATACCAATCTAGAGAGAGAAAATTTAGAGAAATATCTTGTTACTTGCTTAGAGTTAATTGATGAACTTAGAGAATAAAGAAAAGAAAAATTTTAGATTTCTTATATTTATGTTATAATTAATAAAATGTATATTGTGTAATATAATATATATTTCTGTACGGTATCGGTATTTCGGTATTTCATTTTAAAGTATCAAATACCATACCTAATAGGAGTACCAATTTTCTCTTAAAACTTAAACCAAATACCATACCGAATACCAAAATATAGAATACCGAATACAAAAATTTTTGATTTCGGTACGATAATTCGGTATTTACCAAATTATGCACAACCCTAGTTAGTAGTGTTTAACTAGGAACAAAGTTTAATATGTTACTTTAATTTATATGGTATATCAGTGATGATATAATAAAGAGAAACTTTCAGAAACCACTATGTTTTAGTGGTTATTAGTTAGTTGTAGCTACCATTTATTATATTATTTCTTATAACTATATTTTTAGTTTTTAGAGTGTATTCGATGTATTTAAGCTACTGTATTCATGAATACAGTAGTATTTCTAGGCGTGAAACAGGGGATTACAGCTAGACAGATTTGTGTATTTGAGTGTATTCGACTGTATTCATGGCGTGAAATATGGGATTACAGCTGGACAGATTATTGTATTCAACTGTATTCACGACGTGAAACAGGGGATTACAGCTAGACAGATTTGTGTATTTGAGTGTATTCGACTGTATTCATGGCGTGAAATATGGGATTACAGCTGGACAGATTATTGTATTCAACTGTATTCACGACGTGAAACAGGGGATTACACTACTTTTAAACGGAAAGTGAATCAATTAACATAATAGGCTCCTAATATAACTCAACAAACTCAATTATAACACACAGATTTTGTATCTCTAGTTATAAAAAAGACTCTCGACCGAAAAACACTCCAAAAATATAGCAATCTCCAGAGAAATTATATAATACATCTGAATACATAAATTATACTATTAATTAAAAGAAATTATATGAACACATTCATGGAATATAGCGAGACAGTGAATATAATGAATTACATAGAATACAGGGGATACATTGAAATACAATGAAATACATAGAATACAGTGAGATACATTGAAATACAATGAAAAAAAAGAGACAATGAATACAATGAAATACAGCGAGATACATTGAAATTCATTGAAATATATTAACAGAAAATTTAAGTGGCTCAGCCCCAACTCCGTCGTCTTTGTTCAAGAACAACCCAAAGCTTACGTATACCGAAATGGCAACACCAAGCGCGTAAGCACCAATTGTCGCCGCAACCAATTCTTTTCTGGGTTTCACCATCGCACCAACAACAACAATCCCAAAAGCCCCCAATGGAACCCGCTTCAACAACTCTTTCCCAGCCCCGAAATGACAGCGTCTTCAAATACCTCCACCGCGAAGTCCTTAAATTCAGTATTCCCAAGCACAATTTCGTTCTCTTTCTCCTCGCCGGACCGGTGCGTGGAGATGACTTTTAAGGCCTTATCTATTTGTAATCGGGTCGGAGGCGATTTGACCCAGTTGGTTATGAGAGGGACGGAGGGATAGAGAGAAGTGTGGAGGCATTCGGAGGCGGAGAAGAGCTGGTAGGGTAAGTAGAGAGAGAGAGAATAGATATGGGGTAGGAGATTGGAGAAATTTAAGGGGATATGAGAGAGAAAAATAATACAAAACTTATTTTATGGCTTAAGGGTAGGAGGTGACCATAAATAGATATTTGGCTATTAAATTGCTATTAGTTTAAAAGAGAGTAAATATCACATTAAAGCTAATGAGTGAATAATTTAATACAAACTTAAAGAGACCAATTTGGACATAAAAAGAATTTCGTTTCTTTTCCAAAAAAAAGATCAATTTTTTTGAATATTAGTATTTGGCCATGAAATTTTCAATTTTCATTTGAAGATGAATTTTGTAATTTTTCAAAAGATATGAAGAACTCCCAAAAAACTATTTTTTAAAATTTTCACTTCAAATCACTCACAAATCTCAATACAAATATAGTTTTCAAATACCATTTTTATTTTAAAAAAAATTCACTTTTTTCTGAAATTTTACAATTCTTATGTCCAAACGCCAACTTAAGTTCTTCAATTTTGTGAAAGGTGAAACTTTTTTGGGCCAAAATTTTGTTCAAGTCAAACTTAAAAAAAAGGTTTAGCCAAAAATATGTGCACCTTATTTTTCCGTGTTATTTGTACATCATGCCCCTTTTATAATTTTTAATTTAAGAAAATGACCTGTAAAAATAAATCTCCTATATGCAAAAAAAAAGAGGTAAAAAAACTAAAAACAAATTTATAAAGAGCCAAAAAAACGAATTGACCCTCCAAACGAAGTATTTTGAGACGTGTTAAAATTAAAAAAAATAAACATATCACATAATTTAGAGGAAAAAAGATAAAAAGAGAAAGAAAGGGGAAAAACAAGGACCCCTCTTATTCGTATCTGGTCTCATCATCGACAAGAAAAGACCAACTTTATCGGAGCCCTAAATTTTCTCCTCTCTTCAATCCGCTCTCTCTCCTTCAAAATCATGGTTAGTCGATACTATATTTTTTTTCCTTTAACTCCTTGCGTCAATGTAAA